TTGAATTGATTATGCAAAAATGGTCGAAAACGAATTGAATTGATTCTGCAAAACTGATCGATGAAGGGTTGAACTGATTCTGCAATAATGGTTGAAGACGGGTTGAAATGTTGAAATGATTCTGCAAAAATGGTCGAGGATGGGTTGATCGGATTCTGGAAAAATCGTCTAAGATAGTTTGAACTGATTCTACAAATATGGTTGAGGAATGGTTACACTAATTCTGCAAAAATAGTTGATGACGAGTTGAACTGATTCTGCAAAAGATGTCAAGGACGGGTTCAACTGATTATACAAAAATGGTCGATGACGCGTTGAACTGATTTTGCAAAAATCGTCGAATAAGCGTTGAACTGATTCTGCAAAAATGGTTGAGGATGAGTTGAATTGATTCTACTAATAAATGATACAAACTGATTTTATATATAATTTCAAAACTGATTCTGCAGGAATAGTCGATGATGGGTTGAGCTTTTGGCACATGTTAATTTTGTTGGAGTTGTGAAGGTTGGATTTTATTAACAACCCTAAAGCTTTAGGGGTATGATTGGTATTTTAATATATTGTTTCAATATTTTTAGGTTAGGCTTTAGTTGTTTTTAGATTTTGTCTCTCCTTGACATGTTTAAAAATCAGTGTAGTTCATTGAAATATGGTAAAAGTTTTTGTCTCTCTATATAAAACTCCCATTTTAATTCATTAATTTTGTTTAATTTCCTCCAATTAGAGAAACATTTAATAAAAATATTCACAGTATGAAAAATATGTAAATACATAAGTGTACCAAAATATATTATAATAAATATAATCTACAAAATGTTTGTACGGAAGTATATGTACCAAAACGTAGATAGTTAATGAAATGTATTATATTGAATTAATGTACCTAATATGTCTGTATCGAAATGGATATACCAAAATATATTAAATAAATTAATATTCCTAAATGAAGAACACAAACCGTATCAAAATATATTATATAAAAAGTTAGTTTACCGTGATATTTACAATGATGAATGAAATAAAAATTAGGATTAAATGTACTTAATACATTAAACAAGGAAGAAAAAGAGAAATAAAACAACAAAATATAATTGTATGAAGTGATTAAATGTATGCTGACACATTTAGTCAAGGGACAAAAATTAGGTTTCTATCTTACACAAGGGATTTGGATCCTCTCCTGAGCTAATGGAGAGGATCTTCCTGATCCATCATCATGGACCGTTGGATTTTTATCCAACGGCTACAATTATTATAACTTTAAAGGGACCCTCTTATTTGTAGCCGTTGGATAAAAATCCAACGGCCCACGATGATGGGTTAGGAGGATCCTCTCCATTAGCTCAAGAGAGGATCCAAATCCTTACACAAGGTTATAGTTTAAAAGTGATTTTCTTAAGGACTAGAACGAAGTTTTCTATTTTTTCTTCTTCAACTATTTAAACAACTTTTATGATAGTAACTCAATCATCTTACATATTTATTATTCACAAAATGAGAATTCGCTTAAGCTTCTGGTATTCAAAGGGGTAATTGTTTGTGATCACTTTATCTTATAACTTTTGTTGTGCCAGAAGTTTTAAATTTCTTGTATATATATATTTTCCATGAAATTAACAAAACAAAAATTCGGAATTAGTCATGACCACATGATCTTAGATTCAAACTTACACGAGTAGATTATATTATAAGGAAGTTATTTTCACAAATTTTTTTCTATTGCTAGACACTTCTATTTATTCTTGACATCTAAATTGAATAAATCATAAGACTCAAAAGACAAAAATAAATAAGAGCATGCAAACAACATTTTTCAGATTATATATATTTCTAATCCAAAATTCCACGTTATGAATTCAATAAAAGAAAAGGGTGTGTGAGTGGAATCTGTTGGCCCTAGGTGGATGAATAGTATATCTCATGCATGGGAGAGATGAAGATCTGAAATCTAATGGGCAGCAGCAATAGCCAATTAGCAGGTGCATTCAAGTTCCTGTGGTGATCCAGCAGATGGGTTACAAGGCCTGAGAGTAAATAATTCTTGTGTCCTGCAAACAAGGAACATATGTCCTTGGATGTGAGCCAAAACCCTATTTTCAAATCACATCAGACAGTATAAGCCAATCACAAATTACCCCATCTTCACATTATGCGTGGGAAGGTAAAATATATATGCATGGTGGACCGTGGAGCCACTGTATAGCACCATCGACAAACCTGCTCTGTGGCTGTGGTCCATCTATATGCTTCAGTGCTTCACTAGTGTGGACAAGATCTAGCACCATCCATGCCATCATGATCTGGAGTGGTCAACTGTGCAATCTTGAAGCGGCCCCCGCATTTTGAACGGCCGAGATGACTACAGTAGAAGCAGGATTAGCTTTTCAGCCAAGCACTAGATATGTTGTTTTGCCCTTTCATGTATTGCACGACAGTCACCATTTATGGAGGATGACAAGTAACTGTTACTATGGAGCATGTTTTTCTTTCTTTTTCGTTAGGAACTAACAACTAATTAACAAGTGAGAAGTTTTGAAAAGGTTGCTGCCGAATTGAGGAAAAAGGTAAAATTTCACTTACACACTTATAGACAACATATATAATGCATAGTCATGTTACAAAGATCAATAGTGGTTAGAGGACCCCATCCATAAATCAATCTTGCAAAAAAATTCACATGGTAGGTGGCTATATTTAATTTAGCAATACACAAAGATTGGAAGTTCATTTTATGGGGTAACATAATATGTAAAATTCACTAGACCGACTTCATTTTCTTATCAAATATAAGTTGTAAAATATGTACAGAACCAGCTTCTGAACATGAATCCTGCTCTAGAGTTTACACGGTCAAATATCATAGACTGTTGCTTTGCTCGTATAGCAACGAATTATTGACTAGATGTTGATTGTCTATAGTTCATTGTTTATGTCAATTTTAGTTCAATAATAAAGCAGTGTTGTGTAGGCAATACATGGTCACCAGACGGGGTATTGATCCCGCTCCATGAACAGTGGAACGGAGTCACTTTTAAAATTGGGCTCAGGTAAGTATCTATGTATATATTATGGTGAGTGGACGGCTAAGAAATTAATCAATATTGTTAGTAAGATTGACACCTTTTTTTTTTTCTTTTTTTTTTTTTTTTATGCCTATCCATGTGCACCATTTATAGGCCTTCGTAGTGATGGTCCTCGCACTTTGGTGTCTAAACAAAAGATAACAAAATTGAATAAATCATCGTTTGTGTCTTCTATTATCTCGTTTCTTTTTTGGTGGTTTGGTAAATGTTCCTTTTATGCTTACTAAACGGAAGAACTTCATTGGACTAACACTAGGGTTTCCAAAATTTCAACTATAATTGTCAAAGAGTGAGGACCATCACTTTAACTTTGTTATTAGATAATTTGAAGTTTTCCACTAAAATTTAATTTTAACTTTTCTTTTTGTAATATTAGAGGAATCAAATTCTCGACGTGTTTTAAATTCTAATCTGAATCAATCAACTACACCACATATTTTAAATGATTTTACTGAATTACATTACATTGAGGAGAAATTTTTCCATGTACTAGCTAGAAATTAACACAACTCGATGCTTTAAGTGTCATAATACAAGTGATTGAAATGTTTTTTAAGTATTCAACTACTTATATTATGACACTTAGTATAACAGATCGTGTTCCGACACGCTGAAAAAATATCTCGTCTTTGAGGAAGACCGGTGCCTTGATTGACTAAATCACACACCTTGTGGATCCCACTAGCTAATACATTTTAATTTCAAAGAATCCGGATCCTCTTTGTGAGGATCTAGGGGATTCATGAATCATGTCCATTCATCGTACATCATGCGGTCAGAAATTATTTTATATATTTTTATTTAAAATTAAATACAAACAATACCTGACAAAAACTGACCGCACGATGTACAATAAACGGACACGATTCACGAATCATCACCACATGAATCCAGATCCTGGTGGAATTTCAAAATCCATTATAGGGTCTTATCATTGACTGATATATGAATATATATTTAGATACCATAATTAAATTTTTAAAAAAATGAGAATGTGCAATACTCTGTGAAAGCATAGAAAAGGAGTAGGTGTGTGAGGGGGAACATGGTTGGACCACAGACCTTGATTTAGATGAGGAGAATATATGAGAAATTAAACCATAAATTAATTCGATTGTACCAACTTGTTGGGGGACTTCTAATGTGGACACACAACGTATAAACCTTTTCCATGTGTCTAGTTTGTTTGAGAATGGGGTCTACAAATAAAAATATCCTTGAAATTAAACTTTTATATGTGATAAGATAGGGAAGGTATTTGAGATAAACCTCAAGTCAGTGATAACAAGTTGGTGTAGAACTCACCATTCAAGAGCCGAAGCTAAGCCTTTTTAGTTATAAGTAGTGAAAAATACAATTATACCATGATCTTAACTATTTAGCTCATTAACCCTATCAATTGTCATAGAAAATGTCTTCATTATGATTATTTTGATAAATAAAAAAATGAATAAAACTTGCATTCTCCTCTTTGAGAGATAAACTCATTCTTTGGCCACTTGTAAATAATGTGTTTTCATCCTAAAAATTTCATAATCGAAACTGTTCAATGTCTTAATTTTCATGTGAAGATTATTTCTACAAAAATTCATTCGACTCGGATATTGTTTAGTCATTTAAATTGTATCAAATAAATCAACGGTATAAGTACCGAGTAACATATTAATGATGAACTGTCCATTTACTTGATACATTTAGAGGACTAAACGATCTCCGTTTTAAATGATTTTTTGATTTTTTGTGAGTATGATATTCAAATGAAGATTAAGACACTGAACAATTCTGATTATGAAATTTATATGGTAAAAGTAGAAGAATAAATTCACCCCTAAAGAAGGGAATGCAAGTATTATCCAAAAAGAATAAAAATATATGAATGGTAACATCGAAGATAAAGAAGTTATAACGCTCACTCCCTCTTTTATATTGGAGGCTCCCTCAAATACCATTTTCCTCTTACACAGAGAGTTTTGAGAAGGAAGCGAAGTGCTGGGTTGGTTTCATATATTAATTGCTTCTAGAGGAGGCATCCAAAGGGATCGCATTGATCCCAGCTAACTATTTATTTCCACCGTTTGGTTTGGATCATGCTATCCCTTTGGATTTCTCCTTTGGAAGCTTCAAACTTATTTCTTTATATCTTGCATCAACGACTTCTTACACGTTCAAGGTATTCGGCCAAACTCGACGGTTTCTTGTTCAGGTAATTCAAACTTTTTCATATATATGTCTTACCTTCTTCTCTCTCTCTCTTTTTGTCAGATCGAGCTTCGAAAATCTATGTTTTCAGCAGCCAACATCTGAATATTTTCATTGACTGGAAAAAAAGATGCACATCGTCATAGTTAATGAGACAAATTATGCATTTCGATTAGGGTTTTGCATTCTATACTTATGATTCTACCATATATATATATATATATATATATATATATATATATATATGTCTTTTCATCATGTCGAAAATCTATTTGACCCTTAATTATGAACTCCCCTCTGTACCAATTATTCATGAAATTAACTTGGGCAAAGATTTTGGTTTGTATATATTAATCTCTGTTGTTTCTTCAATTAAAATTTGAGGATACTTTTCTGCATATATAGCTTCCTTTATATCTTGCTAAATTATGTAATTATTTGTTGTGTTGTATATAGAATATTAGGGAAAGCTATAAGTTAACCAAACCCGAAATCCCATATGAACATCTTGGATCTGATTTTCTGGGGATAAAGTTCGACGCTAAAACCCAGAAATGAACTCTGGAAAACAATCAATTGTTATGTTTACTCACGTTGTTTACAGGTGTCATTGATGTTTATTAATCTTATTTAATTATTTTTTTTTAATTTAAACCAGCTGTCTCACTCCCCAACTCTCTCTAACTCCCTCCTTCCAAAAACCCTAGATCCGAAGACCTACAGCTACCTGCCTCTTGCTCCGGCTTGCGGTCCGCGGCAACCATTTGCCCCCTAATTCGAGTCATGCTTATCGTTTATTTTGTCCCCTCCCACACACCGTGCCCCCACTCTCCCACCGCTTCCCCTACCTTCGTGCCATGCCTCCTTTCCCCCCGCCTCGTCTTTGTCCCCCTACCTTTCCCTTACCTCGCGCCTCTTCCTCCCCCTCACCATCCCCTCTCCCACAAATTTTCAAGTAGCTCGCCCTTCCTTTGATGAATCTCTTCCTGAGCTCTGGCTTTGCTCTTTTGGGCTAGACCCGTGGGTATGGGTAAGATTTGTGGTTGTGGCGGGTTAGATCCACCTCCCATGACTCGTTCTCCAGGGTGATTTTGCGCTCCTCAGGCAGCCTAGCCGCCTTACATGACCAAACCTGTGGCGGCTCTTGTGGTGAATGCTATACATATCTCTAGAAGCGCTGTTGGTGTCGTGGAGTCAAGTTTCTTAGTGGTTCCCTTTTCGAATTAGTTAGTTTTGTTTAATGTTTTGTGTTATGTCTCTTCGGCGAGTGTTATGGCCTCGTTGTTCTAGCGATGGTGCGATGTGGCCTAGTTGCTTTAGTTATGGCTTATGTGTGCATTCAGAGCATGATTTGTCACGTTTATATCTTTTGTGACATATTATAGGACGTGCATCCAGTTTTTGTGTGTAGTAGTCATAAGGGGTTTTATCTTATTTGTTGATGAATGAATCTCTTCAGATAAGAAAATTGGTCAATGAAGAATACGTACCCATTTGGCACCTCTTAGATTTGATTTGGGTTAATGGAACCTAGCTCCATTGCTTGTAAAAAAAATTCTTATTTACATTATAACAAAGATAGGTTAAAACTGATTAATCTTAGTAATTTGTAGTATACTACTACATTACATATCTATGGTGAATACATTTTTAATCAAATTTCCTTCATCCTGTCGAAATTTCCTTAAAAACATTATGGTAAACAAATTGTAATCGATTTTCTTTTGCAGTGAAACATGAAAAAGTAAAAAATAAAAGTTTCTAGATTAAGAAACTGGTAGTAAGTTTTGATTTTCCAGTTCATGAATCATGATTAGCATAAAAGTGGAAGCTGTCAAGGTGATGTCTTGCGTTACAATTTACCCTAATCTCTGCAACTTTAGATCATTACCTTCCAACACTTTGACTTCACCTTTTTGTAAAGGTAATTTTACTTTGACGATCAAATTGACAAATTGCAAGAAAGTAGAAACCACATGGTTTATTAGCATGAATTATTTTCTACAATTGCCACCACCCGAAACTAGGGAGATCCAGTTGAACTTGAACCTACTAGAACAGACTAACATGGCCACATGAACTACAGTGGACCAAAGTCAGGAACTCCAAATCTCACGCTTTTAAGGACTTTAATTAGAATCCAATGTAGTGGAGGAATGATTTTATAAGCTTAACGACTTTCTTTTTCCCCCACTTTTGGGCCTCGCATTGAGTGCACCAAAGGCAAAGGCAAAGACATCATATACATGTGATGAGATGAGACCAAATTAAATAAAAGTTCTTTTATCCATTTCTCTCATTTTGAAATAAAGGATCGATTTGTAAAACTCATACGAAACGTACGAAAATTCTAGCATGCTTTGGTGTACTTGATTTATTTTGTCGTAAGACTGATGACTCCCAACCTTGCACCACCTTAATTATTTTCCTTGTTATTAAATTAATAGATAGACTTAAATCACAAAATTGTATATTGAAAATGGTCTTGTATGCGTTGATTATATACATTTAGGTACGGTTTCGGCCACCAAAGTTGGGGTGTGGGGAGGGGAATGGGAAAGGGGTGGGTGAGAGCTATAATGTGGGTTGGACTCGAGCACGCATCAACTATCCCTGAAGTCTGTTTGTGTATGTTTTACTTTCTTTTTAAAATAAATATGTAGATTTGTAGAATACACAATTACTTATGCAGTATAACGTGCATGTGAAAGAGAGCGCTATTATGTAGTATTGTGGAGGATGGCTTGCACTATTAAGTAATTAGATGATTAGCTTTCACTTTGAATTTGTCAACAATATGAAGAAACCCTAAACGAATTCTTGATTTCAGAAGCTTCCTAAACCTATGCAAAGTTTGGAGAATTCTCGAGTAGAAAATGTTGCGTGGTCTAACTATCATCATTGTTCATCATGGTAGTAATTAATAGTAATCATCACCATCATCATCTAAATCTAAATCTTTTACCATTAAACGAATGGTCTAATTCAAATGGCAGATGGGGTCCAAAGTGGGAGAAGAAGAATTTGTATGGGGGCACCAGTGTCCTCTGTGTGTGTGCGTGAGTGTCGTGTGTGTGCAAATTATCTTGAATTGTGAGATATGCACCCCAATTGTCTCCCTCCTGCACTACACAAAGCTTTATCAAGGACACACAAACAGCCAAAACAAAACCCACACACTTGAAATTTTTTCAATCCATCAGAAGTATTTGGATGCTGCTTTTGCTGTGGCAACTACCAAAGGGACCCCAAAACCCTTGACTTGCCTGTTCAATCCGTCCGAAGGATTTGGATGCTGCTTTGCTCTGGCAACTACCAAAGGGACCCCAAAACCCTTGACTTGCCTCCAAATTCAAACCCCTCCACTCCTATTTCTTCTCGATTACTTGTTTTAATATTTTCACTTTGTGAGACTCGATTTTTCAGTCATGTATTCGGGACCTGGAGGATTTGATTACTTGGGGGATTTGATTGAGAAGTGTTCATAAAGTTGCACGTTACCCTTACGTTGCTATCTATCGAAGCTACCATATGAAAAAGAATGGAAGTATTATTTTGTATTCGACATGCAGGCATAGTGCGTTCCTGCTACCGTATCAGAATAATAAGAAGAGCTCTTTACAGTATCAAGCAGAGAGAACAGAGGGGAGGAATTCAAATTGCATGAGAAGCTAGGGCAGAAAATGAACAAGTGTTTAAGGGATTCAAGATGATTTGGGGGTGGTTTGTGAGAGACCTGAACACAAGAGCTTGAATGTGTTGAGTCACATGAGTTACAAATTTCCTGAAATAGAGAAAGACTCTTATGCAACGAGAATGTCATATTTGTAAGTCCAAATAAATATGACCAATAAACAACATTAGACACTAACATTTATCCCAATAGCGAGCTATTCCTCACTGATTTAGTATTTGCATTGCTACAATGGGATATTATAAAATAACTTAGGAATCTATAGGCTCGTTTCAAACTTTTTTTTTTTAAATAACTGAAAATGTTTTTGAAACCAATCCTTAATAAAAATGTAAGTACTTCCTTAAAAAAATGAAACACTTTAAGTGTTTTTGGTAATCAAAAATATTTTTACCAAAAATGTTTTCAGTCATTTTAAAAGAACTTCCAGACAAACCATACATCACAAAAAAAAATATATGGCCCTCCTAATCTATGAGCATGTTGCAAACTCATATGCTAATTGCTCGCGTCCGAAAGCTCTTACAATATTGCTCGCGTCCTAAACCAACAGCTTAATTGGTGTTCAAAAAAAAAAAAAAAAAAACCAACAGCTTAATCCACCACTTAATTGAAACGATTCTTTGTGTTGTTGACTAATTGTCAATTCTTATGGCAGATGCCCTTGGATTGCAAATACAATTCATATTTTGCTGCGGATGGAAAGGACTGGTTTTGGATATTTATATGTTAAATGGGCCTTTAGATTTGTTTCTGTTTAGGTTGTTTGGGCTTTTTTCTTTTTAATAAATAGGCCGTATCTGGACACCAAAAATTTTGTAAAGTTTTTAAAGACAGATGTAACCCTCAACAAAATGATTCAAAAGCCCATATTAAACAAATTAAATATTTTCTAAAACAAGTAAAGAAATCTCATAAAAACAAAATTAAATGATATAAAAATATTGAAATAGAAAACGAAAGAGAGAACTCTCTCCCGTCCCTTCCTACCTCCATACCCTCCATTATCAAAAAAACATAAAAAAAATAAAAAAAAACTCCAAGCTCCACCATCGTCATCTCTCCAAATCTCAGGTTACAAAATGACTTTAAATACTGAGAGTGTGCAAGCGGTCTTTTACCACAATAGTGGAAAAGTATTAAATCCTTGCATCACGGTGTGAGTTTGAACTCTATCAATTGCTAATCTAACAAAATTTATCGTCTGACAAAAAAAAAACATTAAAAATGTGAAATGTAGTTGGTTCAAAATTTTATCACCAAAAAGTTGACCAAACAAATACCAGGGTTTTGACTCTTGACTCATGTCGTCAACTGCTTTCTAAATCAGGGTGTCGGTGTGAAGGCAACACGACGTCGTTGAGCCTATATATGTTGCGGGTTTTTTGGACAGAAAAATGCAAAACTGCTTTACCAAAAAAATAGAAAAATCCGTTTTCGGATCGGATAAATAGAAAATCGTTGAATCGCTCTGATTCGGGAAGTGCGCGAAGACGCCTCGGGTTTCTGCAAACAACAATGGCGAACTTCACCATTTCCCGCTGCAATTTCCCCTTCATTTTCCTCCTCTCCTCCTTCTATTTCCTAACCCTAACCCTAATTGCAGAACCCATTTCTTCTTCCGGGCCCAAACCTCTAAACAACAGCAGCAATCCCAACTTCGATTCCGAAATTACCCTCCTCGGTGACGCCGCGCTAGCAGGCGGTGGATCCTATGTCAACCTTACGCGGCCGTGGGTCTCAAGCTCCGGTCTTCTCCTCCGCAGAAAACCCTTTAAATTTCTTGATGGGAATCTCAGCAACCCGACGTCGTTTTCAACCGAGTTCGCATTCTCGATGACGCCCGACGGCGGCGACGGGCTTTTGCTCGTCTTTGCTCCCGGAGATTTGGGGTCCAGATTATCGGGTAAGGGCGGCCCGTTTGGGATTAAAGGTGACAATCGATTTCTGGGTATTGAATTTGATACTGACATGAATGGAGATATGAATGATTTGAATGCTAATCACATAGGGGTAGATGTTGGTAGCTTTGTATCTCTAGCTGTTGGTAATGTTTCTAAATTGAATTTGGTGCTTAATAGTGGAGAAAAGTTGAAATGTTGGATCGATTACGATGCTAGTTCGAAACGATTGGAGATTAGGCTAGGCAAAATGGACGAATCGAGGCCTTATGCTCCGATTTCGGCATATGGGATAGATATGTCGGGAATGTGGAGAGGTGAGGATGTGTATGTAGGTATTAGCTCCTCGAATTCGAATGGAAATTCGTCACAGATTAGCAGTGTGTATTCATGGAATTTTAGGCTTAGAAATGTTCCCAAGTCGATGCATTCTCTGCCGGTGAATCCGAGGGGGTATTTGGATGGACATGGTGAGAGTTTGAGCGTGCAGAAGCGGGGGGTTTGCCCATTGACAGTTCTTGCCGGGATGATCTTCGTGACTGGGTGTGGGGCATTGGTGGCATTTGTGATGCTGTTTTTGTGGGCTATTATCATCAGTAGGCACACGGAGTTCCCTGCTGAGTTTTGTCCAAAGCCTGCGGAGTTTAGGTACGAGAAGATCGATGTAGTTGTAGAGAAAGATGTCGATGGTATTAAGTACTAGTGCGTAATGTTTTCAAGGGCGTGGCCTTTTTTTACTTTGAATGTATGTTGCCAATGTTGTTTGTAATCTCTAACACGAAAATGTGATGAATTCTGTTGTTTTGGTGTACCTGGCT